TTCTGGCAACTGCGACTACCCAATGCTCAATCGGCTGGCAGCATTGATCGGTGCGCTCCCCACGCGTCGCCGCCAGGGGCACCTAGCCTGGCCCGAAGCAAGCTCCCTGACATGCCAACTGGTCCCCAATAAAGTGTAAGTGACGGAAAGGTGTGAGAGTATGGGTGAAGGAGGAGACAAGGAGTGCCAAGAAAAAGATCGTGGCGAGTTCCTTACGGACCATTAGCCTGGTATTAACAGGAGAAACGCAAGGAAAAACTACCCATTAAAAGTTCCGGCTCCTAGTTTTGCTCTTCCCCCAAAAATCTCCCAAACAGTTGCAGACTCCCTGGCTACAAACATGGCTCCAGATATACTAAATAATATGTATTAAAAATAATTACACAATTTTTATGTATGGTGTGACTATTTGATTAACAATTGATTTGCAAAAACAAACATTTCAATAAATGGTCTAATATTTTTAATTATTTTTTTTCGACCGGGCTTGATATCGCCGTAGTAGGGGCCATATGCCTATTTTGATAATTGGTAAATCTGACTTCTCAAATACAAATTTACTTTTTTGTATAGCAGCATTTTAAACGACATTTTCGATTGCAAAACGCGACGATACATAAAATGGTATTTTATGGCAGCACATGGGCATTTTATGACATAGCCTGTCCTCCCCGTCGCCTCGCCTGCGAGCTCATCACCCGTCCTCGTTTCCCCCGTGGGAACCCGTTCCCAAAAATAAAAAATACAACGAATGTTACCAAAGCAAAAAATACCTTTGAAATTTGTTTTCAAAATTAATTTTACTTCTTTTTATTAATTATAATGCTGTTAAATATTAAGCATATGCGAACTCATTTATAATGTTTCTTTATTGGATTCGCATCAAATTTTAAATTTTCGCTCCTAACGACGGCCTTCGTTTTTAAAAAAACATCATGTACTTGTGCCTATAACATTAATAAACTAGTTGCATAATATACTATTATCTATCAAAAATTCATATGATAAATGAGCAGGAAAGAAGGTCGAAGGACACTAATAAGTAACTTGCCTATTACGTCTAAAAATGTTCTTGTGGTGTTACTCGAGATGAGAATATTTTAAACTTAATTATTATTGAACTGAAAGCATCATAAAATAGTGGTTAAATTTAGGTAGTGGGAAATGTCAATTTTTTTAGATGTCTTGTTTCCAATGTCCAACTCTTATAAAGTTCTAAATGCAACTCGCAGGGTCAATATCGACCATTTTGGAAATGACTGTTGCAGAGGGAAGTTTATTATTAGATATTTCATGGCCATGACAAATGCTGAAAGCCAACCAACAGCCTAATGACAAGGTTAATAAAAATGATAATATTTATTTAAAAATCGTTTTAATTTGTTTTGTACATTATACATTATTTCACATTTTTAATGAGGATGAATCTGTTCTGCAAAGTAGCAGAAATATACTCAGGGATTTAAGAGCCACATAGTAATATTGCTTAAAATGATTAAAATAGCGACCTATAAAGTATTCGGAATTTTTGCACCAATCTCCTGCTGATTTTAGTCTTATTAGAAGTAGGTATGTGGCATGAAATCTTCGAAGAAAGAATAATGAAATTTTCGTCAAATTCCAAAATCTAAGAAAAGTGTCACCCTAATTGCGCATGCTGAGACAGTGTTATTTTTGTTTATCTGCGTTGGAAGGTGCTTTTATACTTCTTGTCCCACTATACTATGCACGAATGGAAAAAAGAATGGAAAAAGAACTATATACATGATGTGAGTCATTTAGAATTTAAAAAAGCAATTACACACTAGCGTGATCTTTTACCAGGAGGTAAGTAAAAGTTTTGCAAATTTGTCATTTTATAGAGATCGCTTTCATTATTGTAACATTGGAAACTACTATTTATCGCCCCCATAACGTCCAGAAAGAATTGCGGCTTATGGTGAGTCAAAACAGGGAGCCATTCTGCATGTACACAACGATGAGAAAATATACTTTGTTCAACAACGCAAACGACGACACAAAAATATGTGAATCGATGAAAAATGGAGTGGAAAAGTGTAGACCTGCACGACGTCGGTGCGTGAGAAAGCTCTGCCAAGGTCTCTTGCCGGTGAAGTTTCAGGAAGTGGAGGCCCTCTTTCGGGATATGATGCGGTTAAAAGGCTTCCGAGTCTTAAAACGGCGGCAGCGCTTTGGGGCTTCGGAACAGGTATTTTTATAAGTTGCTTTTCGACAAATACAGGCAGTCGAAAAATCAAAAAATATTTGAATTTTTTATTTAATAGGTAATTATTACAAACGAATTAGATTACTTGATCCTATGTGGCTAGGCCGAAGGCCTTTAAGCCCTTACAATAACCTACATCCTTTCGGCGTTCCCTAATCTTTCGAATTCTGGTATTCACCCAAAATGGTCTTCTCGCATCGCATCAAAGCCGGCGAAAAGAGACCCACAAGGTAACGGCTCAGGAAAAAACCCCTGAAGGGAAAAAACCTGCCGTAAGAAGCCGAGTAGCATTCTAATCTATTCCGACGTTTATTTTAGCTATATTATTTCTGGGCGGGCGTCCCGCCGTCTCCTCCCAGTGCTTGGCCTGCCTCAGCACCTGAAATCAAACGGCGGCCACAGAAGATCGTCGCACCAACGCCTCTGCCCTTAAACATTTTCGATCCCCACCTCCCATTCACCCCCGCCTAATGTGCTTATTTACTGATGCTAGTTTTATTTTATTTTTTATTGACCAGTTTATTTACGCAAATTGACTACGACTTTATGACTTATTTCTGTTTACTGACTGTTTACTAACTTAAACATAAAATTACGTACTTATTGTTAGCTTATTGACTTATTTATTTCTCTCGCATCTAGGCTCCGCTCAAGCTAACCAGTGCTTGTTTTTTCCCCACTCCCTAATTTGCCCAAGTTTCCCTAATGGTCCCGGACCTTTTCCGTAAAAATGTTTCCTAATTCTTTCATAACTTTAGATCTTTTGGTTCACCTACTAAAAATTTTTGGCCAGCGTTAGCGTTCCTGTTTCGGTCAGTAGTAATTTCCCATTCCCGATCCATTTTTTTTCTCCATGTTTTCGGTTGCACATGCAAATTAAGAGGATGTGGATCCAGTCTTCCTTATCTCACGCAAAAGCAACAAGATGCATTACAACTTGCGTCCTTTAGTCTCTTACGCTGCCTCCATGCCGCCGCAACCCTGAAACGCAAGCGTAATCCCCTCTTGCGTCCTTTCCGAGAGTTATGTATGTAAGCTTTTCGCAACCCCATATTGGACTCGCATTGATTTGAGCTACCAGCGAACGTTTTTCAGGGCCGTTGCTGCCCAGATCTCTTGCCCTCTTTAATATCCGCAAGTTCTATCGGCAATCAGCCTTTTCTATCTCACGGGTTCGCCCTATCTCCCCATCCATTTCCGGAGAGACGTCTGCCCAAGCCCTGCCGAGGTCAAGTAGCCGTTTAATTTTGTGGCGCCCCAGTCAGGGATGGTCGCTTCCACTCCATTGCGCTCCTAAAGCACCTATGTATAAGTGTGTCCAGCCTGTTCATTACTGCTTATTTAATCGCAGAGTTTTAATAGGTTTCATTTTAAAATTCTTTCCCAGAAATTCCTATAGCCTACCGACCTCTCTTAAAGAACTCCGGCATTTGCTGCGCACACTAGACAACTCCTAGAATTAATTTGCATAAAATTTCGATGCTTTCTAATATCTATCCTATCCATCGCCCAGATTTCTGCTCCATAGTTCATAGCTGGAGAAACTAACGATTTGAACATTGGTATCGCATACTTTTACCGGCAAATTCGGAAACCCTGCGCACTGCGCAACGATTTCTTTGAGGCGGCAATTCTTCCCTTTGCTGTGAGCGCGTTCAATTTAATATGATTATTCCATCCCTCCATTCATGGAAAATTTTTCAACACTCAAGAATATGTTAAATGTTTTGGAGCGCCGGTCAATTTCTTCCCCTAGCGTAGTAACCATTTCTCTTTGCTACCCACCAAGATAAACCGCATTCTTGAAGACTACTAACTTACTTTCGTTTTTTGAATATTTACTTTTAGTCCCCATGTCTCACTATACCGTTCTAGAATATTTAAATCAAAAATCAAAAATATGCAAGAAACCGTTGAGGATACCTCTGAGGATGAACCAGTATTGTAATTGTTAATAAAAAGAGGTATATGTTGGTATTTTCTGTTTTCCCTTGAGTCATTCTGTATATCTTTTCACAAACTTTCACTTGCACTTTGAGTGAAACAATAGCTTATACTTATATAATAACTTATATAATAACTTATATCCGATAAGTTATTTCAGAAAAATTGCCAGTTATTAATAATAAATAATTAATTTACCGTTTGGGACACAGAAACTTACATTCAGAAGAAAGCGTTCATTAATTTTTTTTCATTTTCAACGCAGCCTGTTTGTCACCGGAACCTTGTGGGCATGCCTGTCACCCACACTAGAAGCGCTGGCTCAAGAGGTCGTTTGCGACAGCGAGTGCATTACAATTTTCAGAGCCGATTGGCGAGGTTGGGCGTGATCGTAGGACCATGTACGATCCATAATTGTCGTAATATGCATCCCAATTACGTCAATTCAGTAATATGCGTCTTTGCCTTTTGTATAAAAAAGTGTTGTTTTTCTTGAGCAATAGTTAAAATATTCTCATCGCTTGGACTGACTTTAAGCGCATTCTTCTGGACTTTTTAGAAGAGAATCATTCAAAACCGCTGTGTCGTAACGATGCGTTTCGCAGCAAAATGGCATAGGAAACATTTGTTCATCTCATCTAGAAAAAGACGATGATGTTTTTTCATCTGAAATGACAATCATCCTGTGTACTAATCAATTACATTTTTTTAAAATTCTGTTGCATTTTTATGAAGTAAAGAAAAAAAATTGAAAAGAATCCGCCCCTGAGGCGTTGGCCTGAGCAAGGCGGCGCTGGGGCTGCAAAGTAGCTCTAACCGGCAGATGGAGGCCGCGGCCGCCGCCGCGCCCGCGCTCTGGCGGCCGCCCCAGCCGCGTGCTGCTGCTGGCTGCGGAGGGCTGCGGCGCCGACGAGGGCTACGTGCAGCCGCGCAGCTTCCCCGCGCCCGCGCCCGCCCCCGCCGCCCCGCGCGCGCACTCCTACCTGCTGGTGGTCGGCGGGGACCCTGCGGGGGCCGCCACGCCCGCCTACGAAGAGGTGAGGAGGACAGGTCACGTAGTGAAAGCGTACGCTTCCCCGGTCGGAGATGATAACGCCTGGAATTGATTATCTCGTGTTTACGGACACGTTACCTTCTATGACCATTAGACTAGTAGGAATAGGGCATATTTTTTACCACGGGAGGTGTCCTCTCCATGGATGGTGACATCCGGCGCACACATACACGCTGGCTAACGGGTGGTTTCCTTTTCCACGCGCCTCCCATCGGCGAGACGCCTCCCCACTCGAGATAAGCTCCAAGTTGCCGACAGGCCTCTTCACATGTGTAGTAGTGTAGCGCATGCAGGTGTAACTGTTTGTAAATTTGGGAAGATGGAACAAGGAAGAGTAAGGAAAACTCGAGCGCGGTGCGTGGCTCATTTTTTATGGTATTGCTCCGTCAATTACCTGGTATGGGTCGGAGAAACCTCGGAAAACTACCCATCAGAGCAGCAGGCCTCTAGAACTCTCCTCGGCAGCGCGGAATTCGACTGGCTATCTCGCTAACGTCGAAAATCCTGCCACCGCCGGGACTTGAACCAAAGGACCTCCCGGTCTAAGGCATAGCATTGACATCAGTTGATACTCTGAGCCACCTCAGCCCCTCTGGAGTCCTAAAGATTCTGAGCTGACTGGGCGACGCAGCGTTGTAGGCAGAGTTACAAACATTTCAGGAAATCGTTTTTGTCTTGCAGGAGGTCGCAGAATGATGACCAACACTTTGGCAACCAAGTCTACTTTTGGTAAAGACTTTTAGACAGCCACTACTAAACGCGTCTCTTTCACAGTATGCCTACCGCGCTGTGAACAGCATTTAAAAGTAGTGCAAAGAGTGAAACGGTGCTCAAATGTTCAAATAAATCTGTGAATGAAACAAACAAAATAAAATACTTTCGTCTGACCAAAAGGACCAAAAGAACCAAAAATGACAATCCAAAATGGACAAAAGGGGAAAACAGTGTAAAGAGGACAAACGGGACAAAACGGACAGAAAGGAAAAAGGTCAAAAGAACCAAGCGACAGAAAGAACTAGTGGTGCTAAAGAATGGCACAGGCTTTCCCGTATTAGTTTTCTGTTTCCTTTGGTCTCGGTTAGCTATTCGGTCTTGCCACACACTCTTGCAACTTGCCATCTATCGCCGCCCAAAGATTTTTTTTGTTGTTGAAATTTTCTTAATTTTTCGATTTCCAAATAGTAGAACGGAAATATTATTTTAAGAATATTAAGTAACTGTAAAATCTCGTCCTAAATGGCTATTTTCTTTTAAAAATGTGGAGCTGTTTTTACGAAAATGACTTTTAAGCGCTACTGAAAATTCGAAATTTAAAACTCTTTTTCACAGACAATTTTCGAGTTTTCGAAAACTTCATTTGGAGTCATTTGAATCACGTTAACTCACAAATTCAATAGTGTTTACAAATCGCTTGAATTGTGCATATTAATTGTATGAGAAATCTATCAAAAAATTACATTTGTGTAATTTTTGAAAAAACAAACAAATATCCCGAAATTAACTTTACGTCATATTAAAGAGTGCAATTAGCACGATCCGTCAGAAAAGTTTCAAGAAAAAATTTGGAGCAATTTTTGAGAAAATGGCTGTTGAGTATTTCCGAAAATGCGGAATTTTGAGGTAGTTTTCACAAAAAAAATTATTTTCGACAAACTTTATTTGACATTATTTAAAGCACATGTACTTATAAATATAATGATGTGAACAAATTGCCGCTAATATAAATATAAACGACGTGAGAGACAGGTCAAAAAAATACATTTTTGTAATATTTCAACAAAAGAAGAATAGAGCAATATGGCGTCTATGTCATCCTATAGAGTACATTCCTACCAAAAGCGTAAAGAACAAATTTGGAGCCTTTTTGAGAAAATCTTGTTTTTGTAACTTTTCAAAATAGCACCTATTGCTCCCAATATCGCGCGAAAACTACTACAATTTTCAAAAACGTTACTTGACTTTAATTAAAGAACTTACTATGGAGAAAAAAATATTTGAAGGAAAAATCTCTCTTCAATTTTGTAGTTCTACATCACGACAAATTTTGAAATTTTCAAAAATGTAGAGTCAAACCTGAAAATCGGACCTACGCCATCTTTATAAGTGTATTTTTCCTCTATTCTTACAAGCAATTTAAAGAAACAATTTGCTGTTTTTGAAAAAATGTTGAAAATATCCAGGGGGCTTCATGTAAAGTACCCCCAAATTTTAATTTTTTTTCTTCAAAATCTTAAAGATTCAACTCGAGCCAGTTCGACACCAGTTTCTTCAATTCGGAAAAACCCCACGTATGGTTTAGGCGCTAGCAGTGTTAACAGAAGGACAGACAGAGCAACTCGCCCTGACCTCTACTCTTACCATTACAAGCAAAAGGAGAGTTCAACAAAACGCGCGCATAGTGAAGCTGCATTTACGTCCAGAAGCCAGTCATGGGGCCATCGCAGCACCTTCTTCCACCACTCCACCAGCACAAACCACTTTCTCTCCGGGAAGGACGATGTTTATTGCGGTTTAAGCGCCTTTCAACTATTTAGATAAATGAGAATCATGCATGATGATCTAATAATGATATGATAGACGATTGAGGATTTGTGAAATGAGGGCTACGGAAAGCAGGAGAACCTCGAGAAATCATGCAGAGGTTTTGCTTGTTCCTGCGATTGAAGGAAAGGCTCTCAGGAACCAGAGGGGATAAGACTGTATTTGATGCCAGCGCTGCACGAGGATCGGAAACGCCCCCGGTGTTTTGAGATAATCAGCGTGAACTCACGTCCTTGATGCCAAAAGGGGCGGGGCAGATATGCCAGACTCTGCGATACATCCCCAGTAGAGTGGGGATTCGACGTGCCTAAACATACCTCATCCAGGCGAAATTGAGCAGGGACTAGTCCTGTCTCGCTCGTGACCACTGTGAGTGAGGTTGAAGGTTTCCTACCACGCCGCCAGCCGCGTCTTCGGCATCGATGATGATGATGACATCAAAGGGGAACGACCCGCCACTCCTCGTAAACATACCTGACTTGTTCTGTGGTGTAGAAAGGCAGCCTAGTTTGTGTTACAGTTGTAAATTACAGATGGAACAAAGCAATGTTCAACACATGTGGTCGTCGGCTCATTTTAAGGCTGGTGGAAACGTATGCGATCCTGTCTCGTCGAGCCTTGTCCAGGCTACCCCGAACCTTCCCGGCGGCGATGGTAAGTACACTCCTGAGCCCACAGTTCCAATACAGGGCTTCGTACTATTAATACACACGTAGACACGATGCTTGGATCAATTAGCAGGATGTCCTAGAAATATCCGCTTCATCTTAACAAGACCGAAGAAGGTTTTAAACAAATATATGTTATATATTTATTTAATGGTTTAAATAAATATATGTGTATACTGTGAAGGAGTTTTTAAAATGCTAGACCTTATCCAAATTGTAACAAAGACAACAATGGTTCCTGACTGATCGTAATACCATTGTGGGACAATCCACTATGTATAAAGCTGTAAAGAGAAAACGTATGTTTGCTTAATGGCTGCGGCTGCAGGTGCTGCTGCAGGTGCAGGCGCCGGGCGCGGACGAGGGCTACCTGCCCATGCAGCGCCACCGACTGCCCACCGTCCTGCGCGCGGTGCGCGGCGCGGCGCTGGAGACCGGCGCCGTCGGCGTCGCCCGCGACCACTACCTCTCCATGAAGCCGCTCGCCCCGCCTGTAAGCAGATTCACATTGGCTGATGGGAGGTTCTCAGCTGCCACGCACTATAATTCAACTGATTAATTAGTAATTAATTGATAAGGTCGTTAGTTCCGTAAGTGTAGTGCATGTCTTTGGCAGTGGCCTTCGCCCCCCCCCCGCTGGTTGGCGACATCCGGCGGCGACCTACCGGCGGCTAGCGAGATTTTCCCCAACCAGGTATCTCCAATCCGTCCCCGGCCGGGACAAGCTCTAAGCCATTGTCTGGTCTCCCGGCATGTGTAGAAGTGTAGTGCGTGCGAGTGTAACTGTAAGTAAGGGGTGCCGTTAGAGCAAAGAAGAGGAAGGTTAGATCGCGCGATTCGAGAAATCCACGGACAACTACCGATCAGATCAGCCGGGCGCTAGTATTCTCCACCAGACCCTAGCTGACAAAGTTGTATCGAAAATCCCTTCCATCGTCGATATTCGAACCCTAGGAGTTCCCGATCAGAGACGTTGCAGTGACATCAGTTGATACCCTGAGCCACCTTTACTTGTAAGGACGCTAATCGCGTTCTCGTTTTGCACATTAGATCCCGGAAGGTGGAGATATTCCTCGCCCACTTGATCGATTGTTTATTTCGTGTTTTCGGGCGCGTCAACTGCTAGGGTCATTTGTCCTGTAAGTGCAGTGCATGTTTTCCCTCAGAAACGGGGATGATCTTCCCATCTCAATCCTGGTGAGATCCAGCGCCGACATATAGGTCAGTTAGCGACATGTCCGGGAAGATTCAATCACTCAATTCGACATATTCCATACATTTATATTCCGTCACCTGTTCCGTGTTTGACCCCTTCCATTGGCATTTTCCTTCAAATCTACCACCCCTACCTTTATTACAAATGATCTTACTCTTCTGTATGTAAGAACCATCTTTCTACCATACCTAAACAAATTATTCGGTATTTCACTTTGAAATATTTATTATTGAGTGTATTTACAATGTAGTGAACATTGAGGTACGTTGGGACACAAACATTAAAATGCTGATTCCTTTGTAAATAATCAAGCTTTTCTCGAGCACTTGTGTCATAAATGCAACATGCTAATTACTAACGATTTAACTGTAGAAGGAGTTAAAATAAAATATTTTGTGGCTTTTATAATTTCTGAATATATGTGAAATTTTGAAAATGTCTCAACCTACTCTTCTAGTGAGGTAGTTTGAGACAGTACACATCCAACTGAAACAGCTGTAAACTAGACGTATGATTGTGGATCATGCTGTTATTTTATGCCATTAGGCATTATGACATTATTGCATGAACGTTTACACAAAGCACTTTAATTTTTTGTGCAATAAACTTTCAGGGCTTTTGAACAGTTTTCATTTTAGTTTCATCTATGTTATATGTATGCGAGATAGATCAAGGCGCTGTGGAAATTTTCTCAAGTTGTTAAAAAATTCACATTTAGATTTATTAATAATTCTGCAATTAAGTGTAAGAACTTGGTGGCAGAATACACTAAGCTTAACATTACAGACTTAACAACTATACAAACTCTACAAACGTTACAAAATCACATGAAATTCACCGTGCAATCTTTCAATAGATCCACTTCACAAACTTCCAACTTCACCACACTTCACGTCACTGCGATACAGGTGACAACGTTCACTTGCACTTCACGCCCACTGCACTGCACATAATAATAATAATAAATAATAATAATAATTAATATATAATTAATGTAATAATTAATAAAATAAAATAAAGTTAATAATGATAATAAATTAATATCATAAAACATAATATAACAATAACAATATACTTATTACAAAGAAGACATAGGTAATTGCACTGAATTTTATTTAAATAATTTATAACATATCCCATTCAAGAAAACTATTTAATTTTTAAAATTTGCTCAAGGCTTTGAGGAAAAGGGATGAAGATTGTCGCAGCAAACTGTTCCAGTGCCCCTAATTGTGCCGATTTCGCGAATGAATATTTCCCCACGTCTGTTTCTCTGAAATTCTGTCTGAATTTTGTGCAATGTGATCCGCTTCTGGCCGAAATATGTAAGGTTTCCTAATTCGACTTTTGAATTTTTTTCCAGCTCGAAGGCCCTGTGTACGCTTTTATAAGCATTGCATAGAGACGTGACTTTAATCTTCTTCCTTTCGAGTGACTCCCAATACCCTTTATTCTTGGTACGCCCTGAAAGTAAATTTTGATGCCTAATCGCTGGACTTTTTTCTAGATTCTTTGTTGGCAAAAGTGCTGTATGGGTCCCAACATACGCGCGCCATAATTCTAATATAGGTCGCACTAATGACATATATGCCTAGTTCTTTGGGCTCTCACTGTACTCTTTTTTCAGTATCCGCATAACAAAATGTAAAGATTTCCCAGGCCTTTCCCTACAACGAAATTTGACTTGAATTTTACAGCTTCAGTTTACTGTCTTAGCTGTATTCCTAAGTATTTGCAAGACGTGACTCGAAGTATAACATTATTGTTCAGTTTGTACACAGATTCATTGTAACTTCGACCCCTAGGTCCCCTAACATTACCCCCCTAACATTGTAAGGATTAAAAGAATTAGTCTTGCAAGACTACATGCTTCAACTACTTACAGTGATAGTTGTAGAGAATGATGTTTCATGAAATCATATAGAGAGTATTTCCCAACCATGCCATTCTCTCCCAACTTTGAGGACATTTAATTTTATTGACTCGCGCTGTTTCATATACCAATTTTCGAGTTTATATGGTAGTAAATCCATAAAACACTTCAGAACTGTTGATATAAAATGTACACTATAATATAATTTTATGAATGATATCTTAAATAACACAGTACATTAAGAATTATTTCCCGGGAACGACGAAAGCCATTATACTGTCTACAGACGGTCAACTTTATGTACTCGTATATCAGTATATTGAGAATAGTAATTGTCGTAGTTGTGAATACTAATTGTAGTTGGTGTGAAACCTGTATATAGTTCAAGAATTTCAAGCAGATATTACGCAAAACTACTTGTACATGACCTTTTTCGAAAAGCTAATTTTTTACAATAGACCTTGTCTGAGGCAAAAATCTCAATAATCAATTTTGTAGTTTTAAAAGGATTTTTTTCAATTTTCAAAAACCCAGTAATGACCGAAAATATGGCTAGCACCATATTTTTTATCGTTTCTTATTACATAAGTGAAGAAAATTTAAAGAAAACATTTGAAGCAGCTTTTGAGAAAAAATTCGCACATTTCAATCGTAGATAACACAGAAACTATTCGGTTTTCAAAAACATTGTACATGACCTTTTTGAAAGAGCAAATTTTGTACAACAGGCTTTGTCTGCAATTTATCCTCAATTTTAAAGTTTTATTTTTTTTTTCGAAAAATCGGGGATGTCAACGAAAATGATACCTGCACCATTCTCTTAATCGTCCATTGCACTATTCAACAACAAAATTTAATCAAAAAATTTAAAATCATTTTTTTTAAATTTTGAAAATGTCTCAAGGACTACATGTAAAGAATCCCTCAAATTAAAATATCAGATTTAAATTCCAGGGTTCGCGACATAAGCTAGAACGATTAGGAAATATCAACTTTAAAGAAACTCGGCTGAACGGTTTATGCGCTAGCGTTGTTCGCAGACGGACGGGCGGACTGACAGACGTTTTGCCGTCAATCGATTTTTCGGTATGAAGGACGCACAAAACATGGATTCTGGCTACATGACGTGTTAAAGGAATTTTTTCTATATTTAACAACTGGGTTTATCCACTTTTTGCTTAGCAGGAGAAGGCAATAAGAGTTTTTGTGTCGAAAATTCGCCGCTTTCCGGCGCACGATTACAATACTTTCTCTTCTTACGTTAGTAACTGTGAGAAAGTTCAAATTCCTGTAAATTACAATGTCTCGAGGTGCCCTGTGCCACATAGTGCACTATTTCCCCCTTCGCGTAACGTGTAGTAACTGACTTTACAGCCAGAAAAATAGTAATTACTGCTTCCTGATAAAACGAACGCTCCTCTCAAATAGTTAAAATAATGCAAATTTTCCAAATGTTCGTAAGAAAATAATTGCAAATAAAAATATGTAAAATTAACAACAATTATTTCCTGGTTTCGGATCGATTCTGGTGTTTGCCAGGCTCTTTGAAATTTGGAATGCGACATCGATGTGAATATTTTAAAAACATCGATGTTTTTATCGAAAGATCAATTATACATTAAAGCTGATGTTTTATATTCGATGTTTTAGGTTTCATACGTTTTTGTGATTACAAAATCCCCATAATCACAAATATATGAACGTTAAAATACAATCAAACACTAAATTCAGTTCATTATGTTACTGAATTCAGAATTCTTTGAATTTCTGTCAGTCTTCATGCAGCTCGTTGCGTGTATTTTGCAAATGCACATTCCCGCCTGAGATATGAAATAATATTCTGGGGAAACTCATCATATAGTACTCAGACCTTTAGATTGCAAAAGAAAATTATTCGAATAATGAAAAAATGCCATTCGCGTTATCCCTGCAAACCTCTCTTCTTTGAGCTTCGAATATTACCACTGCCTTGCTTATATATTTACGAATCTGTAATATTTGTCAAAAGTGACTTACATAACGGTGGGAACATATTTTCATGAAATACGGATATTTATAAATATAACACACATCGTAAAAATCACGTTCATCAAGTGACAGTACCAACAGCTCACTATCAGAAATCCATATACAATACATGTACGTTACTTTGCAATGCATTGCCAGATGACATTAAACAATTGAAGTCGATTCACAAATTTAAGTTAAAAGTAAAATCTTTTCTGCTGCATAACAGTTTCTATACAATTAGAGACTACATTGATTATCAAAAAAATGTTTATTTTAAAGTGATATATATATATATATATATATATATATATATATATATATATATATAGCATTATTTTACTTTTGTATTGTAGAATTTTTTTAAAAAGACTTAATACGTTTGTAACAAATAATGTACTTCAGCTTCCGGGTCAATGACTCCCAG